ATGTGTATATGTGTTAAGCCTTATCCTAATAGGGCTAATAACAAACACACCTTAAGTACGAGCTTTGTCTTGGCTCAGCATATTCCCTGTACAGTGACGTCCACACGTGCTAGTCTGTGGAACACCTTAGGTGTTCTACCAGGCGCACCGGCGAGGATAACAAGTAGCAACGGTATAGAGATATAGTCAGCGCTTGTTATGGAACAGGTAGTTGGTGGGGTAATGGCCTACCAAGCCTACGACGCATAGGAGTCTCTGAGAGGAGCAACTCCCGCAATGGGGATGAAATTGCCCCATCGTATTGATATACGCAGCAGTGGTGAAGCTTCTACAATGATAGCGTAAGCTATTGATAGAGTCAACTGTAAATTTATCGGTGAGGCCGAAAAATGAATTTATAGGTACACTTCGATTGCCTATATTACTAGCGCGGGCTAACAGTGGTGCCAGCCGCCGCGGCCATACCACGCGCGCGAGGGACCTGCATCATAAATGTGCGTACAGGATTCGTAGGCGGTTCAGACAATGCATTGATCTCTTCGAGGTAAGGCAGAACTAGAATATAATAGACGTATCGAGTAGCGTGCATGAGTAGCGATGAAATGTTATAATCCGCACTTGACTACCAATAGCTAAGGCAAGATACGATGAAATATTGACGCTGAGGAATGAAGCCGTGGGACGCGACCTGGATGTGCGACTTGAAAAGCTATACTAAAACATCAGAGATGTTTGAACCATCACTCTCTTTCGGTTGAGAGTAGCTCGACCAAGCATGCGTATCTAGTAATGGATACGTGTGAAGCCTTGGATTGCCACAGTGAATATCGATTCACACTTACAGTCTTACAGAAGTAAGAGCATAGTAAGATGGTAGCGAGCTGACTTCTATGATTAGGGAAACCGAATCTGTGTATTAAAACGGGTAGACTAGGATATATGACGTCCGGGCGTATATTAATCGAACTAATAGTCTATCGTAGTAAAGCAGGAATCTAAGGAAGTCTAGACACGTGCATAGTATGGAACAAGGAAACTCCTATAACTCGCTTACAGCAGGGCAGATCGTGAGGTATGCTATCGGTTAGAGGAGAGAGGACAGTATAAAAAGCGAAGGTCTACTTCTAATGAGTAGAATAGGGCTCGTAGCCAACGAGGAAGACCTAACCTGAAAGGGTGCAGACTTGTACATGGGTGCTACAATATACAATATTAACGAATATAGAAGCAGAGAAGAATGGTAGTAGTGAAATCAGTAATAACTGAACACGGATAACTAAGTCACTTAGATCCACATTATACGGAACATAATCCATCATTTTACGGTACAGGAACACCTAAGGTGTTCCACAATTTAATTAATATGACTTCACAGTTCATTCAATGACTAATTGGCTTCCTAGACGCAGAAGGGAACTTCCAAACTATCCAGAAGGCACGTAAGAATAAGGAGAAGGTTACAAAACATCAGATATGTTTTGGTACGCCTTTCATCTTGGACTCGGAATGATTGACACTCCAATGTTGAAGGCTATCCAAGCAGCATTCGGTGGAATCGGGAATCTTTACCTCCATGCCCTTCACGCATGAGAAAGGTGAAGCACATTACGCCATCAGTAAGCTAGCTGACTTGCAATACTTTCTTGATACCGTCTTTGCAGACCATACTCTACTAACAGAACACCAACGATACCGACTAGCTCTAGTACGAAAGGGTATCTCCGAAGGACTTACTCGAGTAAATACGGCAGCCGAATACACCGCATTTAAGGAATCTGAAGTAATGACCCCCGTTGACTTCTCAGGATTGAATAGGAAAAGCTCTAAGAGCTTTCGTAGGATTCATCAATGGAGAAGCGCACTTCCGAACAGATTCAGCACGATTTGGTATTGAACATACAGACCCCAATGTTCTAGGCCTAATTGTAAATACCCTAGGACTATCGGGACGAGTAGTCAGTCGAGCTAGTCCAGGGGGACGAAAGCCTACTTGAACTATGAATATCTCTTCTGCAAGTGATCGAGCACTCCTAATCAAGTTTCTCGAATCACATACTCCTCTACGAGGGAAAACATCTATGATGTTTGACTGTAGCCTAGTACCTTATGTGGTCAAGCCTTTAGTCAAGAAAGATTACAAACCTCTTAGATGTTTTATAGTATTAGATGTTCGAATAGGGAGAAAATGTCGCAATGGAACACTTGGTAGTTACCTTCTGCATCCAGGAATCCCAATCTATGTTACCCAATATGCTTGTTCATTTTCATTTGTTACGTAGTTTAGATCTTATTAATATTATCGTGACTGTACACACTTACTCGAAAAAGCAATCATACCATACCATACTATGCCAATGCAACGTCAAATGCAAACACCTATGGTGTTTTTGATTGTATTACGACTTAATGACAGTTCGGACTATAAATATAAGAATAACTGGTTGATATATACGTTAATTACATAGGACCTATACGCAAGTGGGCACTCTTTCGAGTTAAGAAACATCTATGATGTTTCTCTATCATCCTCATTACAAGAAGGCATTTGCTTTTTACGCTATCTCATCACCTCCCTTCCATCAACATTAGTTCACACGTATGCCGCCTATATCTCCCAAAATCCTCCTCTTGCTTACAATACTGCTATGGAAGCAGAGTTTAGCCATATGTAATAGTTACAAAACAGAGCTAAATACTGCTTACTAGTTATATTGCTACACAAGTTTAAATGGATGAGAAGAGTATAGGTAGAAGAGAGGCGAAACATCTATGATGTTTGCTGAAATACACCCTTAGGTTCCTGCTTTACTGATCTAACTCATGTGTTCACTCGTACTGAATAAGGACACTACAGTACCGAGAATAGACCGTTTTACTACACAGATTCGCTTTCGCTAACCATAGGTGCTAGCCTTCATAGATGTTCAGCGGTTAGCCTAATCTACTTTACTCTAGAGCTTCACACAGGGTCATTACTGACTCAAGCATGTCTAGATTAGCTGTACTCAAGTGAAATAGTACCTCTAACCATTACAATATTGAAGTCGCAACATCGAGATTACCTACTTGGGCTTATCAAATCGCACATCCTGTTTGCTCCCAAAGCTCTTAGAGCTTTCCTCAGTGTCAATCTCTAGCTAGCAACCTGCTTTCGCCATTGGTAGTCCTTCAAGAACACCAAAGGTGTTTCAGCGCTACTCTTGAAATTCTGGTTGCTTCTATTGGATTCTAGTTCCCTATCAAGGAGATGGGGAACAACCTACGTACCCTTTACGCCGATTCATAACGAACAATGCTTGCTCCCCCGGTATAACCGAAACTTATGGCACCGGGATTGGTTGGAACTAATAGTCTGGCTGGTCATTATCCTGCCAAACGACATCCCCAACACCTTTGGTGTTGGAGAGATTCTGGTTTTCATTATCACGTTTTCACGCAGTGTAAATGATCCTCGACTGCTGCCTTTTAGATAAAAGTGTGGAAATTCTCAGTCTCCACTGTGGCCTTTAAGTCTTTCAACCTAGGCTAAACGTCCTCGTCTTGGTAAGCCGTTACCCCACCAACTAACTGCTGTTAGCCAAGAGCATCCATAGGCGAATCCGATTCTTTGAATATGGTTGATTAAACCTCCTATGGGTGGCATCCTAGCATATACTCACCCGTACGCCACAACATCTTTGGTGTTGTCGACTTGCATGTATCAAAAAGCCCGATAGCATTCGTTCGGGGCCATGATTAAACCCTTAATAAAGATTGTAGTTGTAAACTATTTAGTATACCAGACCTAGAACATAGTCCTAGTATGTGGTCTTAGATGTTACTTATATTTAAGTGAGTCGTGTACTTCTCTTATAACTGTAAAAACTCTTGGGTAGGCATGAGTCGAACATGCGAGGGCGGCAGCCAATTTATTTACAGTAAACCTCCTTAACCAACTAGGATAACTACCCATGAATAGAGTATGTACATATATACAGATTCGTTGACATGCCAGAGGCAGGAACACCAAAGGTGTTCCGAGATCTCTTTTATACTTGGAAAGGGGAGGGGAGTTTAGAACTAATCGCTACCTGAAAACATCTATGAAGTTTTGGTAGTAATCGATTAAGCTCTTGGCGTGATAGTTGGAATGTAGACCCGGGAGCATTGATAGCCGCAGGGTAGGTCTTAACGAATAAATCAGCGTTAATGAATAGCAGTCCAGACTTGGTAGTCTTGTTCTTGTTACGATTACGTAGAACAGTGCTACTAGAAAGCCCAGGTACCTTCTGGTTGTTTTCGTATCAGATACAAAGCCCAGTAGATACTGTTACTGCAAAGAAAGGTGAAGCAAGAATCTTAAACTTAGTCAAGATATCTGGGTGACGACAGAAGTAATATGAGCCACTTTCTGTAACGTTACCATCCTTGCGTAGAAGATTGATGTAGATAGTAACACGTGATCCTAAGTATTGGTATTGCTCACGCTTATTAAGACTTTCGTACTCGGAGATACGGCTAGGGTTAAGAGTCAACCACAAGTCCTTTTCACTATCGAATGTGTAGACATCCTCCAGCGTCTTAATGTCAACCACATGCAGTTTACCGGGAGTAAGGTCATAAAGAGTACGTCCAATTAACTCCACTGTTGGTAGTCAAATATCATAGATGTTTGAGACATCGCGAATAGGTGTGCCTAATTCAATGATGTAACCCTCGGTGATTACTCCATCTACAGAGAACCGAGTAGGCAAGTGCCAATTAAGGTTTTTACGAACAGACAACTCAGATAGCCCAATGACGTCAGCTAACTTATTCGTTGAATGCTCTTGCGCAAACACAGTAGAACGAGATACGTCTACGGCTTGGTAAGTACTTTTGAACTCAACAGGTTCAGTAAAGTGTAATGGGTTAAGTTTCACATTGAAGAATGTAATGATACCGTTACCTTGATGCAATGTAGGGGCATAGTGCGTATACATACATTGTTCTAGTACACGGATAGGAAGTTGAGCGAATGCTACCAATGTGTTGTACCCACCTTTGCTGAGGGCTAGTGTGGGATGTTCCTTAGATCAACCTAATAGCATGTTGGGCATGTCCACAAGATGAGCCCATTTCATATGACTAATACCACCATTCTCGTTGACCCACTGGTGTAAATAAGTAGATGTATCACCATCCTTGAAGTTTGCCATGTGTGAGATTAAGCGTGAACGGAACGAGAGTGCTGATCCAATATAACAGTCAGACCCCTCGTTGCTAAAGAAACCATAAACACCACTATTCGTGTTATTAATGATTAGCTCTCGACGAGATACAGGTAAGTCGTATAGTTGTAACGGTTGAAGTGAAGTATAGTTAGCAATATTGATGTTGTAATTATGACAGTGGTTGTTCTCTAAGTACTCTAGCAAGATACGATCTCCACTATAGTTGCTTAGATGAGAAGAGTGCAATGCATTAAGCAGGTCAATAAGTAAATGAGTATGAGTAGATCCATGTTTAGTTAAATAGATAGGAACACCTAGTGGGCTTTGACTGTGAATGTGCTGAATGTAATTATGTACTAGAGTACCTCCATATGAAGTGTCGGAAGCAATAGAACTGAAGCTCGGGTCAATAGGAGCATACGCGTATTGATCTTCGGCGTAGACCGTTGGAAAGCAGTAGTTATGTAATGATGTAGTAATACCTTGACAAACCTCTGTAGTTAGGCTGTTGATTTGGAACGTATAGTCCGACAAGCATAAAGGCATTAGTTCTACTCCAAAATCCTGTTGAATACTGCACATGTGGCACAGCATAGAATAATGGTCTAGCGTAGAAGTAAACGCAAACAGAAGGTATAAAACACGTAGGACAATAATACCTAAAGTGATGTATTGTACCATGATCATACCTAATAGAGGATTGTGTCCGGATTATGAGATAGCGAGTAAAGTAACGAAGAATAGGGAGATGATTACCGCTCACTCTAAGAAGGGCATTACAACACTAGTGTTCATAGTAGTGGGCAATAGAACTCATAGTAGTGAGACGTGAAGTAAAGTAACGGATACCAAGCACAGGCTAATTAACAGCGTATGTACAAGGTAGCGTAGAGTAATAATGGCTTTGAAGTTCATGATTGTAGTTTTGAATGAGTTAGTTCATTCAACACAGGTACGTTCTTTCATCCGCTAACGACAGAAGAAGAGGGTACTAACATCCTTCCAGCCTGCCCAAAGCCAATTAAGCTGCTGTAGGATTTACATACTAGTACAGGCTCCCATGTTAAGATAGTATCGAATGTCGACAACAGACTGTTCTCACTCTGCGATAGAAATAGCATTGCATTGACTAAGCGGTGAACCCTTACTCGCTGTGTTTTCCATACTACTAATCTGTCGAACTAATCTGTTCCGGTCCAAATAATGATTGCTAGTATAATACTAGTTTAGTGTGCCTACGCCTCTTATTCAGAGTATGTGACGTTACTTATACTTACTAGATGGCGTAATAGCTGTACTTCTCTTATAGATTTAAATGCCATAAAAGTAGAGGGAATACAGGAAAGATAAGTCCATGTGTAGCCAGAGTAATATATACATGTTTGCTAAGTACTGGAGACGCTCGATCTCCTAGATCTCGCTACGCTCTTCACTTGATAATGGTTAATTACATTATTAGAGTTCAGAAAAGCTCTAAGAGCTTTTCCTATAAAGATCCTATGTAGCCCTATTTATGAGAAGGATAAATGACAGAGTGGTCGAATGTGGAACACCTTAGGTGTTCTGTACTACCAAGTACCCTAGGTTCGAATCCTATTTTATCCGGGCCTTCCTATAACAGCCCATCTTGTTTTAGTACCGCGGGACTATACTCCCGGGGATAAGTAAGAGGGCGGGGCTAAATCATTTCAACTGGAAACACCAAAGGTGTTCTTATGCAAGCAGATGGACACATAGGTGGTGCTTTCCCTACTGCTAACACTACAACTTTCCGTCATCTATGGTTTATTAGCCAAAACGCAAGCGATGGTAGCCTAGTCTTCTTCGCTCAATTACACTCTGTACTAAGCTCTCTAGGTCTTGTAAATCTTCGTTGAAATTTTAGTCAAACATCTCTGATGTTTCTAGCATGTGCGACTATATTCTCGGGACATGCGATCTATTTTAACCGTTATCATTGCTTACTTCCACAGTCTGTATGGTGAAAAACACACAGCTTTCATTAAACTTATTCAAGTTGATCGATTACTGGCCCTTGTGTCTATTGACCCACGGTCTCTTAACTCTCAACACCTTTGGTGTTGGAGATCATTGGCCTTGTCTACTCGTTCAGCTCTGCTGCGAATGCTGTACGTAAACTGACTCTCGCAGCTAAACTAGACGCTGTGATTCCAAACATCATAGATGTTTGAGACATTGCAAGGGTACAAGTTACCTACCTTTGCGGATAACACTTTTCCTATTACTTGGGCATTCATATTCGGTTTCTGAATTGGCGATGGTAGCTTTTATATTCATGTACGTACTTCTTTAACAGAATTCCGGTTCATACCTATCTGACGTATAGGTCAGAAGAACACTACTCTTAATTCAATTCTATTACATCGTATATCTATTTTCTTATTATCTGTAGGTCTAACTAACACTGTTCGTGTAGATGGGCCTAATGTGGTCCTTACAGTCGAGGGTAAGATAGCACTCTTACTTCTCTTTAACACACTGATCGCGGATCACCGTATCTTCTGATATTGGCTATTCTCTCAATTAACCATCATGGCTTCTATGGTAGCCTACTTCTCAATGACTACTAAGCTATTCCTTCAAGCTCAGTTAGCCTTGCAAACATCATAGATGTTTTAACAACCGTAAATATCCACTTTCTCACTGGGTTGGCATCATTACTACTATTCACGCCAACATTGTTAATAGCCTCCCATCTGGCTTTGCTTATATTACTACATACACGCGGGCAGGTGGTGGATGGGTTGTAACACTACCTTCTAATCTCGGTGTAACGCCGCGACAGAAACCTTTCACATTATCCTCTTATCCTTCATTAGATGCAGCACTGCTGGCTGCGGTTTCATATCGGGACATGAAATTAACGGAAGCTCTGTCTAAACGTAATCTCATTTAACCTTACTCTAACCCCTTAAACGTCTTATTGAATTCCTCATCCCTTTTTTGGGTAGGGCTAATATAAGAGAGAAACATCATAGATGTTTTAGCAAATATATCGTATAAGAAACTAACAACATTTAGAAACATGGAATGAGAAAAGAAACCTGTGGGTGCGCAAGCTCATAGGTTTACAATAGGACTAATTACAGTCGCACCCTACTAAGGGTGAAAAACTGGGTGAATTGCAGGAAACACCCCTTATGCTTATTCATATTGAGGGTCAATCTGCAGCGAAGCCTATTCAGGTATTATATGTGGATAGGAACGTTCAACGACTAGATAATGAGCTGTGCCAGCGATAACTTATCCATGAGTGCCAGGCGTATTAGTCAAGGTTGTAGATGCAACGGGTTAGATCGGAGTGTTAGTCTATTCACCCCCCCATTCCATTTTGCTAAGTGTAGCAGTATCACTATGGAAGCATTGTTTACTTATTATTGATCAATGCTTTCCCATAACACTACTACATAGAGTAACCCCCCAGGGATGAGTAGTAGGAAACTTCGTCCTCTTTTGTTCTAGAAACATCATAGATGTTTAATAACAGGATTAATGTCCCTCGCTACAAGTTAGTAAATGGCATATTAACTTAAAGAACCATGCTCTAATACGATGATATAGTCTAAACAGCTACGCGAGTATCTGAACACCTTAGGTGTTCTGCGATAATATATTTGTGTTCCTGAATGATACCTTCTTCCTTACTACGCTATCCTGCGATCTATTCCTAACAAACTATTAGGTGTTCTTGCAATGTTCAGTTCATTACTGATCTTACTTGTTATGCCTCTAGTAGAT